CACTAAATTGATTTTTACTGATTATTGCTGCACCAGTGCATGTAAACTGCATTAAATCGTGTAAGCTTGAAAAAGTGGTCGGACTTTACAGTTTCCATCGAGCATTTTGAAAAACACTTTTTTTGACATATTTTGGTAGTTTTATTATGGGAAGGAAAATTAAGAAGAAAACCGTTTTTTTTTCTGAAATTAGCCTGTTCACAACGGTTTCTATGCACCAAAATGTAAACAAAAACAAGTCAAAGTGGCAAATGAATAATTTATTGCACCATTTCATATCTGCAACCAACGTAGAAACGGTTTCTCGACTTTTTGTGCGATTGAAAGCAATGGAGCAACGATTGTAATGAGTATTCTTATGTAGGTCTTGGTGGTTTTTCTTTTATGGTTTTTTTTCAGGAAAAATTCTAAAAATTTGGTCTCGCTCATTTTTGATTTCTTGCAGTTTGAGTATCGATTTATTTTTTTCTTTTCTTTTACTTTAATAAAATCGAGGCAAGATCCACTAATCATCAGCAAAATTTAGAGATCACGAAAAACGCGATTGACTTATAATTTCGAAAAAAAAATTTAATTATCAGATTTCGAGCCGAAATATAAATTTAACATACTGATCCAATTTTCTCAAATTGGGTTAGTTTTATCCAAGAAGCAGTCGGAATAAATTGTTTGCAAATTCAAAGGGTTTTATGGGCGTATACATAATCTATGAAAATCGCAATTTGAAAATCGCACATGTCGGTTTTTTATCTGTTTCCATGCGTTCCCTACTTTTTCTCAAATATTAGTAAGCCATGTCTTTGAAGAGTTGGCGAATTGAAAAATAGGTAAAAATTTATATACAAAATTGTTTAAGAAAGGCATTCTCTATATGCAGTGTATCTGTAAGTTTCTTGCAAAATAGCGCTTTTCTTCTATAACAGTAAATACTCAACATCAAGGAAAAATCTGTTGTCATTTGTTAGTTTGTTCACCATGCCAAGACAAACTTTGCATTATGATAATGTTAAATTTTTTTTAAAAAATGAGAGGTGAAAGGAAGTGGAAAAAAGCATCAAAATTTTCAATTTTTTTTCATATTTTTTTCAGATACAAAAAAAAACAAATAGAAAAGAGCTATGACAATTTTTAAATCAACCAAAAAATTTGCTCGAACCTTGAACTATTTTATTCCAAAAGCAGCTTTCTCTAGTAATGATCAACTGCGTGGTACAATGATGTGAATCAAGTGTGACGTTTGGAAAAATCTTTCCAAGCCACAAAATGAGAATCATCGATTTGGATCAGAAATATTTTTTTTCGCCCAAAAAAATCAAAACTCAAAAATTAAACGAGAAGCTTACCATCATGACCCGCATAGAAGTTTATTGAAAAAAAATAGGTTATAAGGAAAAAATCTTGCCAAAAATGTCACCATTGTAACCGATTAAGTGCAACCAATAGGCAACGTTTTCTTTTTCAATTGCGCGCAAAAGGATTGTTCCCACAGCGATTATATAGCATCGTAGTTCCAGCTGAATCTGTTTTTATCTCTATCTATGAAAGGCTCTTTCCAATTTCCCCCCTTTCAAAATACCGAGTTTCATGTTTGTTTTACGTGCTATTATGGCTAAATGCGTGATGTTACGATGTAAATTATGAACAACAAATCTTCACAGTTGTCGATTTGTTCACCACGCCAATTTGCATTGCATTATGACAACTTTAAATTAGCTTTTCAAAATTGAATTTGAAAGGGGGGACTGGAAAAGAGCCCTATATAAATTTGCGACAATCAATTTTTTTGTCACATAATCCAAGGAAAATCCTTTTTTACCTCACTGATAATTGAAATAAAAGCAATTTTTGTCTCCATTGGATCCACAGAAAATCTAATTGAAAACGCCACTAACTGTGAACAAAACTTAAATTTCTATCTGAGAACAAGAGCCACCAACATGGCGGCCATGAATTAAATAAAAATTTTAAGTAATAACTCAATTTTTGTTAGAAATTTTAAAAAAATTACTGATTCTTTTCAGTTCCAAAACAAACAAGGAGAAAAATAGGCATAAACAAGCAATTGAACAAGCAAAAGTAATTAGCACTAGAAATGACCATTAAGACCATGAAAGACCTAAAAATCGTCAAATTGTTTGCTGGTTTTTTAAATAATTACTGATAATTTTAAGTTTCAATAAAATACTAAACTAACAAGCAATTAAACTTTAAAACAATACAACAATTATGGAGCATTGTGACCATGAATTAACTAAAAACTGTCAGTAAAAAAAATCAGTTTTTGCTAGAAATTTTAGAATTTCTTTTTGATTTTTTTTAAATTTAAAACAATCTTAACAATAAATTGGAGGTATGCACCATGAATGCACAATGCGCTAATATATAAAATTAAGATTATTAAAATAAAAATTTAGTGCGTAAATGAAACTGACTAAACAATTGCACCCCTCTACAAAAAGTTTTTCAAAAGCAAGGAATTAATTTTGATATTGAGGCAGAAAATCATGCTTACAGTGAGTCATGTTTTTTTTTGCAATTATATGGCAAAAAATTGAGTTTTTGTCAATATATGGTTCAAACAAAAAAAGTTAATGAGATTAAAAGAAGAAAAAAACACAAATTTTGTATTGCGATTATATGAAGAGATATAAACATTTTCTTGGTATGAGAGATGAAGAAAACAGATTTTTATTCAAACATAACTGACAAACTAAAAGGATTTGAATCAATTGTTTCGACCATATAAAGTTATTATTTTTGTCTTCGATCAATAAATAGTTTTATAATTGATTGTTACATGTTTGAATTTATTTTCGAACATAAAATTTTCAGACAATTGATTTGCAACGGAGAAATTTCGGTGTGGGGAGCTTCTGTTCATTGCATAGCGAATATTTTGAGAGATCAGTTAGGAGGAAACTCTAAACTGCGATAAAAATGGGTCAGTGTGTCCAAATAAAAATTTTGTTTTTCACTTTTACTACCCGAGTCGAGGTTTTTAACCTAATTTGAAGCAAGATTTGAGCGGTTTGAGTGGTTTTTTTTAGACGGTTGCGTACAGAATCTTGCTTCAAAATGAGCGGTTTGAGCGGTTTTTGAATGGTTTATCTTAAAAAAACGCGCAAAAACCGCGCAACATTTTAACGGTTTTGAGCGGTTTATCTAAAAAAACCGCGCATGATTTGAGCGGTTTTTGAGCAGTTTATCTAGAAAAACCGCTCAAATTATGCGCGGTTTTTCAGCGTTTTTTTTTTTAGATAAACCGCTCCAAACCGTTCAAATCTTGCAAGGTTTTTGAGCAATTTTTTTAGATAAGCCTTTCAAAAGCCGCTCAAGCCGCTCATTTTGAAGCAAGATTTTGAGCGCAATCGTCTAAAAAAAAACGCTCAAACCGCTCATTTCTTGCTTCAAAAAAGGCGAACAAATTCAAATTGGGATCCCATCTCGAGAACACGGCGTGTTGAGGTGTTCGACTCATAAGTCGACCGACACGGTCGAACGGAGTCCAATTTTTGTCGCAAATTAGGACGGTCGAACGAACACTATAGTCGAACAAAGTCTAATCATGGGTCGAACAGGGTCGAATCATGAGTTGAACAGGGTCTAGTCATGAATCGAACAGGGTCGGATCATGAGTCGAACAGGGTCAAATCATGAGTCGAGCAGGGTCGAATCATGAGTCGAACAGGGTCGAATCATGAGTCGAATAGGGTCTAATCATGAGTCGAACAGTGTCGAATCATGAGTCGAACAAGGTCGAATCATGAGTTGAACAGGGTCGAATCATGAGTCGAACAGGGCCGAATCATGAGTCGAACAGGGTCGAACCATGGGTCAAACAGGGGTCGAATCATTTGACGCCGCCCGAGCAAAACTAATTACCGGTAAAAGCAAAAAATTTCCGATAAAGTCGAACAAAGTCAAACAATGTCCGGTAAAGTCGAACAAAGTCGAAAACGGACATCGTTCGACTCAAAAAGTCGAAATCGAACATCGTTCGACTGAAAAAGTCGAAAACGGACATTGTTCGACCATTTCGGTCGATTCATGAGTCGAGCACCTCAGCCCGGGAGTGTACTATATGCATAATACTTGTTTGTGTTCTGCTCAGTCTAGGACCACAAAGAAGACGAAAGACCCCGGGTACGAGTTACAAAGGAAATAAGTTACAAAGGAAATAAGCTAAGAACATTTGAAAAATTTACAGACACCTTTGAAAATTACAAGTCCATTCAGATTCAAAACCAGATAGCGAATATCTTTTTATTTGACTTTCAATTCTTGAGTAATTTGTGGTAATAACTGAACTTTAATAACATTTCTATTTCTTCAGTTCTATGTGAACTAAGTTAACCTCAGGGATTCGTCGTCTGTTTCTCGTCTGATTGCTGAGATGCAGTTGACCACGTAGTTGTCAGTCAGATCTCTAGACAGTTTGACCCTCCTCCTCATCAGCAGGAAGTCTTGAGCCTGGATAACGTGGACCAAATCTGCTGACTACACGAAAAATTACCGTAGAATTCAATTGAAATTTTTTTTGTAATTTTAGGCCTTGTGATGGTTTTTCCAGGCCTTATGATGGTTTTAATCGGTTTTCTTCATAAGAGCGCTCAAAAACCGCTTAAAAACCGCTCAGATCTTGCTTGAAAAACCGTTCAAAAACCACCACAAGAAATAAGAGGCTTATGAGCGGTTTTTAAGCAAGATTTGAGCGGTTTGAGCGGTTTTTTTTTTTTTCAAAAAAAAAACGCCCAAACCGCTCAAATCATGCTGGAAAACCGCTCAAACCGCTCATATCTTGAGCGGTCTTTGAGCGGGATCTCGGCCCGCGACGTGCAAGTTTTACCGTTTTAGCAATATTAGACAATAATCGCTTCAAATTTTTCCAATTTCTCATGGTTACTTACCGAGTTGGGGAAAAAATTAGATAAACTATGAAATGAATGTTTGGTAAAAAACTATGCATTTTGTTTCAGTGAAATTTGAGCGGGATATTAAACATGGTCGATCGAAGAGAACCACAAGGCTATGAAAGCTATTATCAGTTCCAAACATACGCCCCTGTCGATGCACCTCTCCTGGGCGCCAAAGAATCCAAGGGATCAAAATCTTCTAAGTCTCGATACCAGAAATTCGATAATCCCACTGATGATTCAATCCAGACACCTAGACAAGGAGCTGGTGATGATGCTATGGATATGGGCTACGCTGGCTCTGCAACTCAGGCTCAAGGGAGCCAATCTGCTACTGGATCTGGGACGCCAGGAGCAGGACCGGCAGCTCAGCATCAAGCAACGACATCTGGCTCCCGGGTTATAGGAGGCACTATGCCATCTTACGGGACCTCAGGATCTCAGACCGCTACCGGTGGTCATCGCCGACCATCCGGTTATGGGTCTCAGACAGGTACCGGCTCCCAACAGCGACCATCCGGTTCTGGATCTCAGACCGCTACTGGTTCTCAATACCAGCCATCTGGTTCTGGATCTCAGACTGCTACCGGTTCTCAATACCGACCATCCGGTTCTGGATCTCAACCGACCAGACCTCAGGAATGGACTACAGGAGCAAGTTCATGGAATTACGCCCCTAAAGTTTCCTCTTACCAACGAACCGTTTCAGAAGTAACGAAAGTTCAAACTTCAAGGCCAGTCGAGCTATCCACACCCAATGACGGGAATCCAAGGAGTCATTTAGGAGCTCCGGTTGGAGCAATTGAATCTCCGTCTGGGTCAGCATCTGTAGGATCCCAGACTAGACGCACAAGTCGAAGTTCTTTTGCCCCGCAACATGCAAGCTCCCAACCTCCGGACGCCGCAAAATCTATGCATTCCGCCTTTGGCGGATTGGCTCTGGATAACAATAGCGGTGGAAACCAGGAACACATGAGGCAAAAATCATCAGCGGTGCTACCAGGTGGTGTTCCGCAGGGAAACCCGGTTAATCCCTTCGGTGGATCGCCAGGAAACAGTTCTGGAACTTCAGGTCAAACGAGTGGTTGGGCCAACTTCAGTGGCCAGCCATTTAATTCGGCACCGCCTCCGGCTCCGACTTCGGGGGCGTTATCAGCTGCGGGCCCATCAGCACCGACTGGCATTTCGATAGCGTCGATAAGGAATGATTGACTCTTTTCGAGAAATAAGTTACTCAAAAAACAATTTGCACGACAAAAAGTTATAATGATTACTTTTTATTACAAAGAATATGCGATTCTCACACATTTTAAATCCAGTTCAATTCCTTTGTTAAAAGGAAGGCAAACTCCACTATCGAACAGCAGAAATTGTAAAGGTCACAAAAAACGTGATCGACTTCTTGTTTCGAAAAGTAGTTTTTCCCTGAGGAATAAAAAAAATTTACTTATTGATCCAGTTTTTTCAAATGGGGTTTACTTAATCAAAAATGTATCAATCATAAAATATTCTAGAAATTCAAAGATGTGCCGGCATCTATTTTTACCTATAAAACTTTGAGAAATGAGATTTTTTCAGAAAAGAGATCATTAGTTTTTTTCTGTTTACTTACGTTCATTGACTCTTTTCCAACAGTCTTTGGATTGTCAGGTTTTGATAGAATTGTTGCGTTTTTGTCTTCCTTTTTTGATAATCGCAACGCGATAATTGAACCAGCAAAATGACGCTTACTAGGAAAAATGCTTGCTTTCAATTTTTTGCTACTTGCGTGAGAAATTTAGGAAAAAAATGGGGTCTTTCCCGTTATAGCCCCCCTCCCCCAGCTTAAAAAAATTATATTGTTTTAAAGGGAAAGACGCAAAAAATTATTGTTCTAAGCTTTGTGTTGCACCAACATTTTTCCAAACTTTTTTTGATTATCATTCTGGTACACTCAGTCGAGTCTATCTTTTTTCAAAACTTATCTGGAAAATAGTCACATCTCCAATCGTTTTCAGTAACAGTTCCCACCAGATAAGTGGAAGTAGCATACCTGCACCTCCTGTACACGTGAGCAATCAAATCAATAACGGAGCTATGAGTAATGTCTCGGGGGCTGGTCACTCACAGCAGAGCTCTTCTTCCCCGTTTGACAGTAGCATGGGCATTACAGACCAAGAGAAGAAGAAAGTGGGTTATGGACAGATGAAATGGTACCAGAGAGGTCAGCTTAGTTTATTCAAGTTTTGGCTCTTTTTCAAACCCCCCCCCCCCCCCCCCCCGATTTTTCCTTATTCAAACACCACGCTAACAAACCACAAGTGACAATTCAAACCACGGAAAAACGTGTCAATTTTTTACAACTTTTCTGCATGGAGTTTGAAACATGAACAGTTGTTAAAAAGTTCTTATTGTAATTTCACTGGCGTTGGGAAAATGGAAATGAGTAACGTTTTCCTTCATTGTTTCAATCTTTTTCATTTTTTTTCAATAACATTTGGTCTTGAGCCGTGTCCATTGAGATGGAAATGTTAATATGAGTCAGCGAACCAGGTTCCAAATGAGCTTCTTGTTTCTTTTTTTTTTCAGGAAACCAGGAACATCAAAAAATCATCGGACTGGATTGAGTGATATATCATAATGAAGCCCTTTCCGTCGTGATTTGAACCAAACTAAAAAATTTCCAAAAAATTGAAACCGCAATTAACTCTCTAAGAAAATTTGTCTTGGATATAAATCTGCACTTATTTAAGTTATCGAAAGTTAAGTTTTTGAAGTTGCTGATGGACTGACTGACTCAAATATTTTGGTGTTGACACTTTTGACGCATGTGGTTTTCAAAAGCAATTCAAATTCATTTGTTGAATTTACCTATCCACTGATTAATAGAAATGGGCATGAAAAATGAGACAGAAAATTTTCTTGATTTAAAGTGAGTCATTCATATGATTTTTTTCTAAAACTGGTTGTAATTTAACCGAAACAGCTATCAACTGAAAATAAAAAAAGTTTTGAACTCAAGGAAGGTACAAATTTTGTGTAACATGAAAATTGAAGAATTTCGAAATGCTGAAAGTCTGTGGCAGTTGCCGTGATTTTGTGTCAGTATTTTCTCGGTTGGTAACATAAACTTATTGTTCCGACTTTCGATACGAAAGTAACGGAATATTTGTGCTCGGGTGGGTTTTTTTTTCTTCAGACAAATTTCGACTTTTTAACCAGCCATTTTTGACGGATTTTTTTTTATCATTCCAAAAGTATTGCTATCCTGAGCTTAAATTTGAAAAGATATTTTTACCTGTGATCATTTTTCGTAAAGTTATGAGGGTTTAATTATTGCCATTTTGCCCAATTTGGGACAATTAACGCGCGATATAATTCGCGCTATTAACGCGTAAGCGTAGCTTTAATCCGTCTTAGAAATCGTTCCAAAATGATTGAACGAATTTCATTTGCCATAATTGATTTGTTACAAGGAACGATATCTATCTCTTTGTACTTTATATGGCGTGTGGCAGGATGATTTTCATAAAAAATTTCAAATTTTAGAAAAAAAAATTCTCTTTTTCTTTTATTTAAATTAATTTTTTTTTGTTATTACTGCTGCTCCATAAACTTTAAAAGGCAGTCGGAACATTCAGGGCTTCGCCCTGATACGAGCAGTCTTGTTCAGTTTGTTTTACCTTTTAGTCTATTGGACTGCTGTGATCAAAGCAAAAGTTGCTTAACGCTATGATTTAAATAAACCTGTTCATTTTGTATCAAAATACTCTTTTCAGGTAGCTCCAGTACCAGTTCCGGGGCTGCAGCAAGTGGCAGCCAAAATACCTCAGCAGCTGGGTTCTCGCCTGCCAGACCATCCGAAACTACAAGCAGCATCGGGGCTCACTTGGCTCCTCAAGGTTCGTCCGTAGTTCAATTAGGATTTGCTTCTGAAACTCAAGGTCATTGATTCAATTTGATTCGGAAATTCAAAGTCATTGATTCAATTTATTCTGAAATTCAAGGTCATTGATTCAATTTGATTCTGAAGTTCAAGGTCATTGATTCAATTTGATTCTGAAATTCAAGGTCATTGATTCAATTTATTCTGAAATTCAAGGTCATTGATTCAATTTGATTCTGAAGTTCAAGGTCATTGATTCAATTTATTCTGAAATTCAAGGTCATTGATTCAATTTGATTCTGAAGTTCAAGGTCATTGATTCAATTTGATTCTGAAGTTCAAGGTCATTGATTCAATTTATTCTGAAATTCAAGGTCATTGATTCAATTTACTTCTGGAACTGGTTTCAACTCGCCTCACATTAACGTCAGTTCTATGGTTTAACTAGTAGCTTCAGAAGTTTAAATATGAAGGGTGAATATTTTAAAAACAATTTGATTAGTCAGAACTCAGTTTTTTTGGCAATCGGACTTTATGAACCAAAGTTGTAAAACTAAAGTTTTACCGGCTAATTTAAAATGAAAATCACCCCGAAATAGGACTGCTCCAAACCTCCAAAAATTCTGATCCCCGCCTGATCTAAAAATTTATTTAAGACTATAGCCCCAAATCCTTAGTGATTAAATACGTAATGAATCATCTCTTTCAGGTCATCCAATGGTCCAACCAAGACCATCTCCATATTGTCAACCAAATCCAATAGCATCTAGCACAATTGCTCAAATGACACAACAATCAACTTCAAACAACAGCATAGGAGTCCCGCTAAGCAATTCCAGTTCGGAGTACTACAACAACTCGTCAGCGTCGGCTAGTAACCCTGTCGGCTCAATGGGCGGTGCTAATCAAACCAATTCGTCACTTAACAACCTAAGTGCACTTAGGAGCTCAGGAGGAAATATGCAGTTGGCGGCAGGGATGATGATTCAACCCGATTACTCCGAAGAACGAGGTCTCATGAGTTCGGACGAGTCGAATATTTTTGAAAAATGGCGAGACATTCATATTGCAAATCGACAGCGAGACGCGTTCTTTGACACGTTACCAGGTGAAGAACTCAGTTTTAAAGCACACGATTCTTTCAATTACCCTCATCCGTTTGGAGGCCTGGTTGGTACACCTGAGAAGAGCCCTGATAACCAGGTTAAAAGCTTCTTCCAGTCGACTCCGATTAAAAAACCTGTCCCAATGACCTATCCAGGGTATGTTCCTGATCCTTCAGCTGGACCAGTTCCAGGGACCTCGCCGATTCCAGGCACTGCATTGGGTCCATCGTCTCCAGGGTTCCCGGCGTCTCCGATTGTGAACAAACCTATCGGCCCATCAGTTGATGTGACGGCGTTTTCGAACTATGTAAGTCCTCACGAGCAAGACGTGATAACGGCTCAAGCTGGTTTTGGCGCTTTTCCAGACGATAATATACCTGAAGACGATGTTTTTGCAGGACCGAATTCAAATTTTTATCCAAGAAATAGTGACGATGTTCACGCAATCGAAGTAAAAGTAGATACTTTAAGATCGTACCCTTCAAACGATAACTTGGAGATGCCGAATTACCCTAGTTTGAAACGTCAAAAGCATCACAGGTGCTGCAAACCTGACAAAACAGGTCGATACAAAACAGTTCCAAAAAATCACAAAGAAACTCGGGAAAGATCTCACAGAAATAGTGACAATGTTCACGCAACCGACGTAGAATTGGATACTTTAAGGTCGCATCCTTCGAAAGATAACTTAATGCCAAATTATCCTAGTTCGACAGATCAAGAATCTCATAATGGCGACATATTTGATGGAAATGGTCAAGTTGACGAGAATGCCACAGAAGCGGAGAAAAATCTTCAAAAATCTCTGGAAGCCGGCTCAAAATATCCGGTTAGAAACGATCCAAGGATTGCAGAAGCTTGTTTGCAATATTCCTTGGAGGGTGGGTCAAGAAATGGTCAAGTTGACGAGAATGCCACAGAAGCGGAGAAAAATCTTCAAAAATCTCTGGAAGCCGGTTCAAAATATCCGGTTAGAAACGATCCAAGGATTGCAGAAGCTTGTTTGCAATATTCCTTGGAGCGTGGGTCAAGATACTCTGCATTTGATCCGCAAGTAGATAACAGAAGAAGGCGTCCTCTTAGTTGGCAAGATGCTGAAATTTACGAAGTTGCCGATAATAGTGACGAACACGTAGATGAGAATCAAGAAGAGCAAGGCATGGCCCAATCATCAGAACCCTCCACATCTGGAGAGGGTTCTAGCAACCCTTTCGAGGGCTGTTCCACTGATGCAGGTGAGC